CCCCTCCCCCCCAGCATGGGGACCTGTGCTGGCCTCCCCGCGTCTGCTGCAGCAGCTGCGTGGCCATCCCTGAGCTGTGGAGCCCCTCGGCGCTCGCCAGCGTAGCGAAGTGGGCAGCTTCGCTCCCTGTGATGCCGTTCAAAACGTGCTGGCTGTGGCTCTTTTCGACGGAGGCCTTAGCTGGATATGGAGGCAGTATGTTTGCTGCCGTTTTGCAGCTCAGCTTTCCTTGGGGGCTTCCACGAGCACATTGTAATGCCCTTTTTCATCTCCTCCGAGATGTTTCAGTCTCCCGAGCAGTGGTGCCTGTGTGAGCCTGGGGGTAGGGATGGAAAGTCCAGGACTGCAGGTGCTTTGTGAAACGAGTTATGATTGAGCTATTTTAGTGTGGTCTTAGCTCATGGTATATAAATGACACAGAATATACAAATAAAAAACAAACAACCCCCCCCCCCCAAGGTATGTTAAAGGGCTACTTTAAGGCAAGGAACAGTTCTTCACAATGAGAAGAAAACATTTCTAAAGGATTCTAAAATTAATTCAAACCATGGCATCTCCTACTAAATGAGTAAAGTTTGGCAGTAAACTAAAAACACTTTTTTCCAGATCTCAAGTATTTATCAGTTAACCACCTGAGAATGTGTCCTCTCTTTTTTTTCTCTTTCGTGATGCTCAAACATGAGATTCTTCTTCTGTTAAGAAAAATATCAAAGAAATATTGCAAGTTCATATAAGAACTTCCATTTTGAAACATACACAGCAGATTCTTCTGTCTTCAGACAGAAGTTCCAGAGCTGTGCAAAATGACTAGTCTGTAATGCCTCATTTTTTAGCAGGAATTTTTTCCAAGAACTTATTGCAGGTTCAAAAAAAATGACTGCATATCCTGGAATTTCCAGAATAAGCTGTCTGTTGTTCCAGAAGCACTTGCAGACTCTTGTCCATGTTGAGCCCACCAAAATAAATCCTATCGAAGTTTGTAGACTAAGCAGTCCAAGAAAGGATGCTCAGAATGTAGAAAATGTATAAAGAGAGGAAATTCCTGTGATTCCATGTATTTTTATTTTACATGCTCCTCGTTTGGCTGCTTTTGAACTTCTTCCAAAATTTTATGTTTTGGTAGAAGTTTGAAAGTGAGAAGCTAGGGAGATCAAGTGTAGTCCTTTAATTTATGGCTAATTACATCCATACTCCATAATTCTTTCTGAAACCTAGTAGTATTCTTTGCTTTAACTAATAGCATTAATGGGATATAAATTTCAGAGTGAAACAATCATTTAAAATGTCCCTACCTATTTAACAGTAATCTTTATGATCATTAAAGTTGAAACAATGTAAAAAAATTGACCCTTACCTTGCTAAAATCAATAAACGTTTGTGTTGGACTTTAATATTTTTTTTCTTGCTTTTCATTATATAGTAGTACCGTAGTGAAATATTTGTGTAGCAGTGCAAAAGGAGAAGTGTTTCACATCTGAGTGAAACCGTTTTGTAGGACATGTGAAAGTAATAAAACCTTTCATCTGACCTTAGGTTGTGGTAAATGTTTGTCTTAAAGAATGTGAAACTTGATACTTTTTATTGCCTTGAAGAGATACTTCACAAAAGTTAAAAATACTGCTTCGTGTGTGAGTAGCCTAAGGGAGATCCTGATCTTGGAAAATACGTATGCACGTGTTTAAATGTGTGTGTAAGTACTGGAAGGAGTGGAACCATAAGTAGAATGAAGGATGTATAATTAACAGTCTTTGAGCAACGTGATAACTGTTCTGATTGGAAAAGGTTTATAGTTTATGACACTTATCATGCATTGTAATTCACTATCAGTTTCAGCTTTTTAGTCAATTCTAGGGGTAGGGGGTTAGATTTATGCAGAGAGTGGGGAAAAGACTGCAATCGCGGAGAAAAACAGAGTTGTCTTGGCAGTTTTTTAGACTGTGGTACTGCAGTGTCTGTACAAATGCTTGAAGGGATTTGAAAAGAAGGGGAAAATTGCAAGGCTGTTA